CAGCCATAAAGTGGTCACATAGGTACGTACAGTAATAGCGGTAGTTGGGCAGGGGCAGGGGGCAGGGGCGGTAGTAGTAATAGTATAATGAGTGAGATGTGCACCATCTGGGGATGGTCATGGATTGGAGCACTGCAGACATTGTGGGGGAGGGGGATAATGGGCATTTATTGAAACCTTAAAAATCTGTACCCCTATAATATGCCGAAATAAAAAAAAAAATCACCTTTTCACCCTTAGTTGTTAAGGAAAGGAAAATCATAACAGTCTTACACAGTGAACCAAGTGGAATTCTCATTGAATTTTGTAAAGGTCTATAAAACAAAATCATAAGATACCTACAGGTTTCGATTGATTGTACTCAATAAAACTTGCTACATTCATTGCAAATTGAAAAAGCTGATATCTCAATAATTGGCAGAGGATGTGGAGCCAGGATATTGAGGTGCTGTGAGAAGGGCTGACGCCACACGCACTCACTCTAGGCTGGGAACAGGAGTGAGACTCTGTTAAAATGATCATGAATGAATGAATGAATGGAATTTCCTATCGGCATTAACAACATAGAAAATGAATCAGCATCAAGGGTGCCTAAATCTAATGCCGTGGGGTGGCGTCTCGGTTTGCGCCTGACAGCGAACCATATTGCATAAACGAAGATTTTTCGTGCTGAACAGAACAGATCTCTTTCCGTTTGAAAGTGTTTCGCCCTACGCAACTCTTCATCACGTGTTCACATCATCATCTGTGGACATACAGTCCTTTCTCTCCATGGATCTTAAATGAAATATTGGCACAGAAGTACGATAGAGGACAGAAGACAGTGAAAAGCAAATGCACCGAATCAGAGAGAAGAGAGAAGGGCAACCAGAAGAGAAGCAACAGGGAAATTTGCAACTGTGCCAATCTAAAAATAACCCTTCATAAACTCGCTATAAATATTCTAAGAATTTAGCCAAACATTTAGACTTTTTTTTACATGTAATGTGAAAATGATTCAGAGTGATTGCACTTAGTAATTCCTGTAAGAGCATGATAGTTGACAACAATTTATGGTTCCAAACAAAATGTCTAATAGATCTTCAAGCGTAACTTTACCTAAGCATAGCCATTTAAAGGGAGAGAGAGAGAGTGAAGAAATCTAAAAGACATAGTTTCGGTGGTTTAATCCTTTGAACTGAGGTAAGCCTTGCGCAAATAATTTACACATCTCTGAGACTCATTTTCTCACTCATTACCTAATGAGATAATGTAGGTGAAAGAGCTATTAAAAAAAAAAACTATAGAATTGGCATTATCTCTGCTTAGGGAACTAATTTTTAATATTCTGATTGTTAGTATAAAAAGCCACGTTGAAAAATCGTACATCGCCCATGAATGTTCTCAACGCATCGTGGGGGAATTTAACTTTCTCTAGAATATATTGAATGTTTTACATTTTAGTTTAATTTAGCTTTGTACCTGGAACCTAAAGGTATTCCATTCTTTCTTTCTCGTTTTCTTTTTCTTTCTTCTGGTCTTCTTTCTTCTTCTTTCTTGTCTTTCTTCTTCTCTCTCTCTTTCTCTTCTCTCTCTTTCTTTCTTTCTTTCTTTCTTCTTTCTTTTTTTTGAACAAGGATTTCCTCTGTACCCAGGCTAGAGTTGCAGTGGTATGACCATATGATCATAGCTCTTACAATGTCCAACTCCTGGGCCAAGTGATCCCCGGGCTCAGGCCTCCCAAGTATAGCTAGCACTACAGGCGGATTACACCTGGCCAACTGGGTAATCTTTTAAATTTTTTTGTAAATAGGGTTTCTCACTAGTATGCCAGGCTGATTTTGGAACTCCTGGCCTCCCAAACATCAACTCTTTTTTAAGTGCCTCTCCACAATTATTAATTTAAAGCATCTCACCAAACTTACATCTAATCTAAAAGGTGTAAACGTTTTTTGGCTTTTTCGTGATGATGTCAAGGGTCGGAAATCAAAACCAAATAAGGAAAAAAAATCAACATTGTATGAGCTACAGAACCAATACGCAACATGTTTAACTAGAGGACTGAAAAGAGGAAAGAAACATCAGGCCACAAAACCGGGATGGCTGCTGGCAGTTAATCTATTTCTAAATTCAACGTTCTTTAAAAATAAATCAAATTCATAATTTAATTAGGTTTGCACCTAAAGAAAAAAAAAGTGCTATAAAAAAGCTCAGATAGAGAGAAAGCGGACTTGGACAATTGGTTTTAAAAGAATCCGTCATAATCGTAGGGCTTAATTTTTTATCTGCAATTCAGCTCAAAGTCATCCAGGAATGACTTTTATATCAAAGAGCTTCCGGCCGAGTGACAAGAGCAAGACTTGCTTTGTCCGTGTTTGAAAGTCATTATCCATGAAATAACTTCAAGCCTGCGCAAGATGAAAAAGAAGAAAGATGCTGTTTTTTGCATTATTCAGACAGCCGTTCCTTAGAATTTGGGTCAGATTTCTAGAAGTTTGTGCTTGCATTTGACAGAGGAATCATGTATCTTAACCTCTCGGTATGACCTTTCTAATAGGCATTCATTTGTAACACACATTTTTCTGTGGTAATTATCTTTCAGCTGGTCCAAGTTTAGTCTATTTTTTTGCATGCATTAGGGCATAAATCAGATCATTTTAAAATGTTAAGATTTCTCACCCTCTGCACACATTTGTGTCTTGTTACGGTGGTGAGATTTGGAAGGTGTTTCAATCTTTACATTTGAGAGTGGCTGAGGAAAAGTTGTTCTATTCTGATCTGTTTAATCATCGTTTTCTGTCTTTATAGGTGGATCTCTAAAAATGAAATGGTATTTTCTAATAAAATAAGACGTACTGCTTTTTCACAGAGATTTTTGTCCCTTAAAATAAATAAATAAAAAATCGCACAGCAATTATTTTTTAGCGGAATACTATCTTATAGCTGCAAGAGTATAATGACAGCTCAGAAAATGAAATAGAGTAAATCCTTTTATAGTTTTTGCAATGGGTGATTAAAGAGTTCTAACAAAGGTCTTCTATTTGTCTGATAAACTGATGTATTAGTAGTTTATTATATTTATATATTACCATATGATAATAGGCAATTTAATGAGTATATTACAATGTACAAACAGATATAATTCTGAATCACTTTATGTGTCTTATCTCATTCAATCCTCAAAAAATTATAGAAATTGCTCAAACTCTACTGCTCTTTCCAAAAACATATTAACAAATCACCGATGGATGCGAGAGAGAGGAACACTCCTACACTTGCTGGTGGACTGCAAACTAGTTCACCTCTTGTGGAAAGCAACATGGAGATACCTTAAAGTGATACAAGTGGAATCTACCATTTGATCCAGCAATCCATTGCGTGGCATCTACCAAAAGATCCAATACACTCTACAAAAAGACACCTGCACTCGAATGTTATAGCAGCACAATTCATATTGCGCGAAGGCTGTGGAAAGCAGCCCAAGTGCCCATCAATCCAAGAATGGATTAATAAAATGTGGTATATGTAACCATGGAGTCTATTCAGCTCTAAGAAACAACGGTGATATAGCACATCTTGTATTTTCCTGGTTAGAGCTGGAACCCATACTATTAAGTGAAGTTTCCCAAGAATGGAAAAACAAGCACCACATATACTCACCAGCAAATTGGCATTAACTGAACAGCACCTAATTGGTCACATAGAGTAATAGGGTATTGGGCAGGGGGAGGGGGGGCGGGTATATGACATACTAAACGAGTGAGATGTGCCACCATCTGGGGGATGGTCATGATGGAGACTCAGACTTGTGGGGGGAGGGGGAGAATGGGCATTTATTGAAACCTTAAAATCTGTACCCCTATAATATGCCGAAATAAAAATAAAATCACCTTTTCACCCTTAGTTGTTAAGGAAAGGAAAATCATAACAGTCTTACACAGTGAACCAAGTGGAATTCTCATTGAATTTTGTAAAGGTCTATAAAATAAAAGTCATAAATACTAAGTTTCGATTGATTGCACTCAATTAAAACTTGCTACATACATTGCAAATTGAAAAAGTGATATCTCAATACTAATTTACTTAGCAAGAACTAAAGGGAGTAAGGATTAAAGAACTAACTTTAAAGAATAATTACTGTTTTAAATGATATAATGTGAAGAAACTTAGTGCAACACAGAAAAAGCACAAATCAGTTTTAAGTGCTGTACATACATACTAATAAATACAGACAAACACAATCTGTAAGTGGTAAAACTAAGCTAAATATATCTTATTATCTTAAAACATTTTAATATTTCCCAGGTAATGAGCATTTCCGTAAAAAAAATCTAAGACACAAGTAATTTGTAAATTGATTACAAAATGTTTAAGAAGTCTGAGGAAATTTTTACAAAGCACAAAATCAGTCTTCATAGCATGGACAAAGTCATTTTTTTTTGATGTGACGAAAAATACAACCTAAAAATTCTTCAAATTTATCAAATAAAAGTTGTCCATGAAGGTCAGAGTTTTCTAATTTAACTGGTTTCTTCCCTCCCTACTTTTTAAATATGAACATATGTTGTATTACCGAGATCCAATTTTTGACATCACGAGTAGCTTGTAAAATTAAATTAGGGCCTCATCTACTAAATATACATACAATCGCCACAAACATGTAAATTCAAAATGGTATGTCATATATCATTGCCCTAATAACTTCATATTTGGGCAACTTCTAAGAAAGAAACCATGGCAACCACTTTGAGCACGCTATTTCCAAATACACCCTTAACACTTTTTTGTAGACTCTATACTGTCTTCCCAAGCAAACAAACTATTTAAATGACAACTTACAGAAACACAGAAAAAAATTCTCTTGGTTAAATGTACATGGAACTTTATAAAAAAAAAAAATTAACTTCTCTGGCAAATTGTCTAGTTGATCTACCAATTTGGAAAAAGCTCACTTCATAATGCTTTTACAAATGTAAAAATCTGCATAACACCTTTAGCAAACATAAAGTGGTTCTACTTACACTTGCATGGAGTTTTCCTTTTTTTGACATCGCTAAAAATTTGTTGCTGAAAACTCCTCGTATTCCTACGGTCCCCTGAGATACAGCAAATATCTCCAAAACACCTAGGATGACAGAAATCCCAAAATAAAACACAGACTCTTCTATATATCAGCGTGAAGAACTAAATTTCTACATAGATTCTTTCCATTCTTTATTACTGCGATTTTTTTTTTAAAAAAAAGAACTTAGTATTAACATCCTTATTTTTCATGACATTCACTATGTAAAAAAAAAACACAAAAGGCTAACATTAAAGTGTTCGCTTAAAATTATTAATTTTCAGACTCAAAAATTTGAACCTGCTTAATCAAAAATTTTTATTTTTTGACAAGCAGCAAGTTGCTACAAATGATGGCCGACAATAGAATCTTTTCAAAGTCCTAAAGGAATTAAAAAGACATATTTTTTTTTCTGAATGTTTTTAAAATAATTCCCATCCACTGTTTCTCCATACCACATAGCACAGTACTTTTAATATAAAAGCACATAAAGTCCGTACTCGAGACTAGTATAAACTATTTGAAAGCTTGGAGAATAATACCTATTTACATGAAATAAATCCTTCTTCTCTAATCGTCATGATTAGAGTGGCAGTTATGAATAAATATATACACCACACTCATAATAAATATATACACCACTCTTCTAATGAGTGGTTCATTTAAAAACTACATAGAATAAGATACTGAAAGCCCTATAAATAACTTAGGATTATTGGTTCAATGAAGTGTTTAATGGATCGTGCTTTGGGACATCTTGCATTTCGAACCATTTCCTGGAAGGACATTTAACGAGGTATTTTATTACATTATTGTTTATGGTTTGTATTTCATAGTTAGCATTGTCAGGTCCACGTCCGTCTGTCTCCTGCAGGAATTCAAAGTCCACCTCCTCTAGGTCGAGACAATTTTAAGAAGGTAAAATCCATAGTCCACCTATCCCTGGAAAGCCTGCTTATTTATCATAAATTCATACATGCTGTTATACGAACATGTCATCGTTATTTGACTACATAAAATTGCCAACAAAAAAAAAAAGAAAAGCCAAATAGTAGAGTTCACCAGAGCTAAAAAAAGGGACTTGTTCTAGGAAGAAACAAAGGAAGGAGAGAAGGGAAGCAGGAAGGAAAAGGGAAAATCTATCTCAACATTTAAATCTATAAATATTCTAAGCATTAGTATTAGGATATCTCAACAGGACTCTCCGGAATACAGAAATCCACCACATTTTTCCTGAAATAGTAATTTCCCTCTGCAGGATTTGAAGTGCATATATTATTATTCGATTTACAGAAGAAGAAATATTTTATAAGTACGTATATATGAGTAACTTTATCTAGCACTTACATTGTACAATGTGAACTAACATCTACAATTACATTAAATACTGCTGCTGGTTGATTCAATCTGGTTTCTAAAAAATACCTGATCAAAAAGTGTGTAAAAAAAAAAAAAAAAAAGGATAACTGAATCACTTTTTTAACGATTAATGTGCCCAGCTCAGAGTAAAGAAAACACATCTAAGGGGAACTCAAGCTACCCATTTATTGATTGAAAAATGAAAACAAAAAAAATTAAGAACTGTTAGAAAAAAAAGAACTTGTTATTTTAGAAGGAAACTGTTAAAACTGATGTCTCACAAATCCTTCCCCCTTCCAGATGTTTTCAAACTGCTGTTGGTGATAGATGTGACTATAAAAATGATTTGAATGTGATGCCCACCCAGAGGTTTAGAGGCATCATTATTTTATCAAATAGTACCAAAGTGCACTGAATGTTTTGTAAAGTTAAATACACTACCCGGGCGTAATAGGTTATAGTAACGTCACTAAACCATGAGTAGAACATCTGAGACAAAGTTATATTTCTATCGGAATCACAGAATGATACTGAGAACAGCATTAATGCTTTTAAATATTTGGGAGGCGGGGATCACGATTGTGAATCGCGTATAAAGTTGTGTGTTCGAAACCGAGAAAGGGAGAACGTGAGAAATTGTACAAGTGTGGAATGATTGACCCAAAAGAGACAATATTGATTTGGCAGAAGAAGAGACTTGCTTGTATCTTTCCCTTCCATTTACTCATGGTTCTAGATCTTTTATGCCATCCTCTGGAAAACTATCTGGTTTTGTAAAACGCAAATCTACTGTATATTAATAAAAAAAAATGCACGCATGGTAGCATAAAGATAAAATTCTCCTAACTGTATGGTTTTGCATGCTAACTTTAAAGATGTTAAGATGAAAAGGATTTATAAATATTTGTTTTGTGGAGATACTATTGCTTTGCCTAAATAAACCATGAGTTTCTGACACCCTCTATTTTTTAAAGAAAGACCCATTTTGACTCATTAAATTCCATCTCAACACATTGTCATTCTGTGTATGTATGCTACACACCACTTGCATGGCAATGAATTTTCAAAAGATGAAACAATATATGTGAGAGTGTCATTATTTTATTACACATTGCGTGGTTTATTTTCTTGTAAGTTCCAGGATAAAAAAAAAATCATGCATTGTCTGAGGATGAAAGGATTTTATAACTTTGAGAAAATTATATTTAAGGGAAAGCTTAAAAAATACACACACATACATCTCATTCTATTTAACATGATAAGTGAAGGAGAGAGAAAAGGTGAAATTAGGTGAAAGAAATATTTTTCACATTGACAACTTTGGTATTGGTTTTCTGAATCGTAATTATAGCCTAATATTGGGGAACACTTTTAAGATCATAATTTTGAAAGTAATGTAAGTAATGTCAGCAGTGATCGTACAATGTCTTTTTTTCCAGATTATTGGGGCAGATTCAATGAGCCTCACAATTCAACTTCCTGCACCCCA